TCTTGGACGCAAAGTAGTCTGTGTGTCCACTTGTTCAACTTGTACGTCTTCCCTTATGCGGTACAGATGAAATCTGACTGTTTCATCAGAAGGTTGGAAACGTTCGGCAATTTCTCGACATGTTTAGCTGTTGTCCTCCCCTATGGGCGCCATAATCCATGACCTGTGTCCGGCCACTGCGGTGTTCATCACAAAGGGACAAGTCTCCCAGCTGGAACGTCTCGAACCAACGCCTCCCGATGTGTTAACTCACAATATTATCCTCAAAGGCTTGACATATTCGACGATTTGATGCGGCTGCGGACAAGCCCACCTTAAAGTAACAAAAAAAAACAAAAGCAAAAAAAAACAGACAATCCCGAACAAGGCTGTTTCGCCATATTTCCTCGCCGCTGTCCAAGCTATGACTGATGTGTGCGCGCAATCCACCTGCATTGGTCAAGAGCAATGCATCCACCCCCAACCCCCACAGCTTTCGAGGCATGTGACGCATTCATTTCCGTATCAGTAATCACTTCTTCCCGCACGGCGTAAAAACGGCAAGGACTTTTTGATTACCATATATTTAGAAAAAAGTACTGAACTGTTACATGATATGTCCTACTGTATCGCAGTGAATGCCGGACAATCCACTCAAAGATGAGGAAGAAACTTGAAGCAACAGAAGGATGCTGAGGATGCCATGAACTGAACATGTGATCAGCGATGAAGTTTTAGAGAATATGCAAATAAAAAAGAAACTTATACTTAACATCAGAAAGAGACAGTTGAAATTTCTGGGACACATAATGAAGAAAGAGGGTTTGGAAAATATGATACTCGCAGGACAGATTGAAGGCAAGAGGGACAGAGGAGAACAATACATAACCTACTTACGTAAATGGATGACAGAACAGTGTTTAAGGAGATAACGAAAAGACATAATTTATTAAGTGGTACAAAGGACAAGAAATTGTGGAGAACCATAATAGCCTACGTCCTGAGAGGGCGTGGTACTTAAAGGCGAATAATATTTAATTTTGATGAGAATTTTTTTGAACTGAAATAATGCAGCATATGTTTTAATTTTTATTTTCAATTTATAATGTTTTCTTTTCATTGGTTATCTACAGGTTGTACCTTAAGTCAGGACACATACGTAATCTCATTAAACACATTTTTTTTACCTCCACAAATTAAATATGTTTTTGCCGAAAGAAGAAAGGATTGGCTTCTTTTTCTGGGGTATGCTAAAGTAGAAGGTGTACTCATTGAAAATCACAGATGCAACACACTTGATTGAACGCACGAAGAGTGAATGTGTTATTGCATCGAGTTTGCTTGAATCTTGCAAAGCGCATCAACCTTTACAACGCAAATGATGGAAATCATATTGAATATGCTACTTGTTCATATTCCAAATCAATGTTGTTGAAAATTTTATTTCTTGAAAATATGCACTTTTTGACCTATGTCCCCAGACTTTAGGGACACACTGTAGATGCAAGTTATGTATCTTATGGAGTTAGTATTTAAAGAAAGGGACACTTACAATTACCATTAAAAATTAATACCTTCATAATTATATAGTCTAATAATTTTATTTTAAAGTGTTTTAATTTAATATTAGCAGCTATTATGCCATAAATAAATTTACAATAATAACTGTTAATTGATGAATATTAATTAACGAAAGATTTGGTGGTATTAAATAGTCATATGTCTGGGTCTTACACTTCCCGCCAAAAATGTACAAAAAAGGACTAATATGGCGAGATTCGATGGTAGTTAAATAAGGTAGCTTAAGATTATAGAAAAGACAATAACTAAACTCCTTGTTGAATTAGAGGACGAATATGAAAAAAATATTAAATCTAACACTTCATGAATGAAAGTTTTGTTTTTATTCCAACGATTACAACTTAAAGAGTTAAAGAGACGTGATGGAGTGTTTCTGTCATATCTGGGCTAGTGCCACCCACTTGTCACTGACCAGCCTTGACAGTTATTAATGCACACAGACGAAATATTTTTCTATTAATTTTTGCATAATGAATGTACAAAATAATTCCTTACATAGCGAAAAATAACTTCTCTCTTTCAGTGTCAAAAAAGGATTTTTGATCGCGCCACTTCCTTAATGTAGGCATCACGTAGTTGCTGAAATATAAAACGGCTTGACACAACTTTCAAGCAGTCAGATATAAAATCTTGTATTTCTTATCAAAATTAAAAGCTTACGGCCACATCATGTTGAAAAACCGGTTCCCGTATGATCACCAAAGTTAAGGAACGTTCAGTACATAGATGGGTGACCACTTGGGAGTACCAGGTGCTGTAAGCTTGGATGTGTGGGTGGTCTAATGACTTGGAATTGTTAATTGGAGAGACGAGTTCCAATTCTCGTCGGGTTCGTTCACTTACGTGCAAATACCCTTGGGAAAGTTATGAATCAACCTCTTCTCCCCAAACTATGGGTTAATTAGTAAGACTTGTATCACTAAATCATTATTATCTCAAAAAATTCTTACAATCTGAAAATATTTTCCGGTTTTAAATAACCTGCAAAGGGTTGATAAGCCGTAGAAAATGAATGAATCAATCAATCTACTGATTAAGCAGAAGAAATTAAAAGAAGAAATTAGTAAGACTTGTAAACCATTATTATCACCAAAATACATTCTTACAATCTAAAAATATTGTCTGCCTTTAAATAACTTGCAAAGGGTTGATAAGCCGTAGAAAACAACTCAATCAATCAATCTACTGATTAATCAGAAGAAATTAAAATAAGAAATTAGTAAGACGTGTAAACCATTATTATCACCAAAATACATTCTTACAATCTAAAAATATTTTCTGGCTTTAAATAACCTGCAAAGGGTTGATAAGCCATAAAAAATGAATCAATCAATCTACTGATTAATCAGAAGAAATTAAAAGAAGAAATTAGTAAGACGTGTAAACCATTATTATCACCAAAATATATTCTTACAATCTAAAAATATTTTCTGGCTTTAAATAAAACTGCAAAGGGTTGATAAGCCATAAAAAATGAATCAATCAATCAATCTGATTGATTAAGCAGAAGAAATTAAAAGAAGAAATTAGTAAGACTTGTAAACCATTATTATCACCAAAATATATTCTTACAATCTAAAAATATTTAATGGCTTTAAATAACCTGCAAAGCCATAAAAAATGAATCAATCAATTAATAAAAATTAAAATCAATTAATTACAAAATTGAAACTTGACAAAATTATTATGTCTCAAAATATTGTTATGTCTAAAAATATTTTCTTTCTTTTTTAAACTTTGTTTTTTCATTCTGTTTTTTTTCAATCAATTTAATTCATTCATTTTTTTTTTTTTTCTATTTGTTTTCTTGCATTCTTTTCATTCTTTATTTCTTACAATCTTTTTTTTTCTTTAATTTATTTTTTCTTTTTTCCATTCAAAAATTTTCAATTTTATTCTTTTTTTCCTTCTTTATTTTCAAAATTGAAACTTGACAAAAACCTGTCTCAATGATTGTTATGTATTATTTTCTTTCTTTCTTTTTTTCTTTGTTTTTTCATTCTGTTTTTTTTTCTCTCTCCTTTAATTCATTCATTTTTGTTTCTTTTCTATTTGTTTTCTTCATTCTTTCATTCTTTATTTCTTACTTTCTTTTATTCTTTCCTTCTTTATTTCTTTTCTTCTTTCATTCATTCTTTCTTTTATTCTTTTCTTCTTTATTTCTTTTCTTCTTTCATTCATTCTTTCTTTTATTCTTTCCTTCTTTATTTCTTTTCTTCTTTCATTCTATGCTTCTTTCATTCATTCTTTCTTTTTTGTCCCGTATTTCTTTGTTTCTTTTGTCATTTTCTTCCTTTTTCTTTTGTTTTTTCTTTTTTCTTTTGCCATTCTTTTTTTTCTTTCATTCTTTGTTTCTCTCATTTATTCATCCATTCTTTATTTTATTCTTTTTTCTCTCTTTCTTTTGTTCTTTCTATCATTTTTCCTTTCTTTGTTTCTTTCAATCTATTTTAGTTTTTCTTTCATTCTTTTTCTTTTATACTCTCTCTTTCTCGTCTTCCATTTTATTCCTTTTTTTTCTTTGTTTCTTTCTTTTTCATTTCATTCTTTTAGACTTTGTTTTTCTCTTTGTTTTGTTCTTTCTTTCATTATCTCATTCTTTGTTTCTTTTGTTTTTGTTCTTTGTTTTTTTCTTTCTTTTTTTATGTTGTTTTTATTTTCTTCCATTTTTTTGTTCATTCTTTTGTTTTTGTTTCTTTTCTTCTTTCTTTCCTACTTTTAAGATAAGCAAATATGAATTTAATGATGATGTAAATTTTGATAATATAATGAGCTATTAATTATAAGTTGCATTGTCCTGCACTGTGCGAGCTAAGATAAAATCCAGAATTTCAAATGATGATTTTCTAAGCTGGCAGTTACTCCCCATTTGAAAAATTGGTGCAAAGCAATCTTCATTTCCACAAATTGGCCTTGTGTTATACTTAGCTAAACTTAAGAAATATTACACCATCTGGTTTGATTTAAATTTCTTTCAAACTTGCAATAAAAAGAACTTCACCAAATGTTAACTCTTAAAATCAAACCAACTATAACCAGTTTGGATAATATGAAACTGAATTTTTATTAGCAGGAATCAGATTATTAATAATTACAATATCAGTTGATCCTTTTGGGAGTTACTTACCAAATAGATGTCTACTGACATGGCTTATAAGTCAATTTAGCTAGACGTCTTAGATTCTTTCTTATTTTACTTAAAATAGAATTCTTGTAAAATAAATATAAAAAGCATGAACTCTTTTTTTTACCATTTAAATTGGATGAACAAATAGTGTAAGTAATGAATATTAATACAGAAACTGGAATCAACAAGCCAAGTTCAATTTCCATGATAGCCTGTTGCATTCACTTTCTCATTAATGTCCTTGGGAAAGACATTGATCTGTCTTTTTTCTCTTTAGTTATGTGTTAAATATAGACAATTCCTTTCTAATCGATGACTCAAGAAATATCAATAGTACGATGACATGATCCAAATTGACAAGAAGAGTTGCTACAAGAGAGAAGTAAGAAACAAATCAAATAAAGGATGTTGATCAGATTTATTAGCGGAAACAAGTAGTGAAATCCACTATTTGACTGAAAGACTGAGCAATGGAATAATTGAAAGTTTGAATACTGGCAACATCAGTAACATTAGAATGGTTAAGCCATTTTATATGATGAGCATTAAAATCATTAAAATCAAATGTAAAAATTGTTCTGAATAATCATTTAAGTTGTTTTTTATATACAATAATTCCAAAAAGATAAATCTTTTGTTTACACATCCAAGGAGAGTGTGTAAAACTTAACAGAAATAATTTATCATTTTTAATGAAACATTAACGTGAGTGTGTAATTCCTCCATTGATGACCAGGTTTATGAAGTAGAGGCAGCCACCCCACTATCTTTCCCAAGAATACATTGCTATTCACAAATAAAAGGATATGTGGAGAGTCATGATCACCTAAATTTTGAAGAGACAGGATATTTTTTCTTCTTAAATGAAAATGAATAAAAAATATACACAGTTCGTTTCTGTTCAGCGCGTCAATGTCAAAATTTAGTCTACAACAGAATTAGAATGTTCTATGTTAAAACAGGACTTTAATTTATACTTTATGATTATTAATTAAACACTTCTTTTTTAGATGGTAAAACTTTTTGGAGGAACTATTTAGCTGTTAAAACAGGTTTCATTGAAAACTGCAGAACAAAATATTTAAATTCTTCCACTTATACTTAGCAAACACGTAAAATATGCTGAATCATTTTTTCAGAAACTATTATGGGATGTTTCTTTAACTGCACTTTTCTATTTTATGAAATGAAAGAAAAAAAAAGAAAAATGTGGATTTTTTTTCCACTTCCTCCAATATTTTCTATTCTGTATTGCCTTAATGCTAATATCATATTTCCTATTTGCTTTTATTAAATGCTTTATCAAAATATATAAAACAAATTAAATGAATTAAAAGTTAAAAAATTGCAACAATTAAGATATTACTACTACTATTACTACTATTACTATTAATAACAATAATAATAATAATAATAATATCAATAATTGCCCTCAAAATATGAAAGCTATAAAATGGCTGTATCTGGCTGTAATAGACTGATCAACTTAAGTGGGGTTATTTCTTCTTGATTTGCAGAATTCATGCTCAAGGCTTAAAAGGTGAAGAAGCCGCCATCTTTAAATTGTAAAATTCATACTTTAAGGCAGGTTTAATGAAAGTGCACATATTTCCTACTCAAAGTATTCTTTTGGGGGGAGAAAAAAAAAGTCTTAAGATTAACCTTTGGCTATGTCCCTGACACAAGTGGGTATTCAGGGCCTACTTCATATTTGTCTCCTCCTCCTGTTCTTCTTCCTATTCCTCTTTTCATAACTCCTCCTCCTCCCCCTCCTTATTCTTCTCCTCCAACTCCACTTTCTTCTTGTTATTTCCCCATCACTTTTTATGTTTTTTCACTTCCATTATTTTTTTTTATTTTTAAAAAGCAAGAAACACTCTTAGACATTTAATTCTCTGTGTTAACAGTTAGACATTAATCTATACTGAACCTGTGAAAGGTTTCCTTAAGAAATCTCAGAATGAGTTTTCTTCAGCTTGGAATTTCATATATTATCCGCAGCTATCAAGCCAATTAATAGGGCAGTTATTTTTTGGAGGTGTCTCTCAGTGTTTTTGTCTCCCATTTCACAGAACATTTTGTTGTTTTTGTTTTTGTTTGTAGTTAAGACATTTTTGTGTTATATCTTGTCTTTTTCCGAACTTTCTTTTTCTTATTCCCTTCTTCATTTTCTTTTTCTCTCCCGCACTTTTTTATTATACCTTCTTGTACATGTTCTTATTCACTATTCATTTTTGAAGTAATTGTATTTTCTTTTTTTCTTTCTTTCTTTCTCAAGGACATTCTTCTTTTTCTTCTTTACTGTTTTTAATATTATTTCTTTTTTTCTTATTTTCTTCTGATTCAATTATTATTCTTTACACTAATCTGAATTTTTCTTCCTTATTTTGACTATTTTTAATATTATTGCTCTTTCTTTTTTCTTTCATTCTTTCTTTTTTCCTATTTTCTTTTTATCCAATTTCTCATCTTTAAACTAATCTACTTTCTTCTTATACTTATTTACGTTTACTATTCTTAATGTTATTGCAATTTGTTTGTTTGTTTCTTTTTACTCCAGTATATTCTTTTTCTACTGCATTTTCACTATTTTTAATGTTCTTTCTTCCTTTTTTCTTTCTTATTTTTATATTTTCTTTTAACTTTTCAACTATTTTTAACCTGATTTTTCATATTGACACTAAGCTTCCCACTTCTTTATTTTTTATATTGCTGCACTTTCTTTCTTTCTTTCTTTCTTTCTTTATTTCATCCACTTTTTCATCTATACATTAATCTGTTTTTTTCTTCTATTTCTTCCTTCTTATTACTAATTTTAATATTGTTGTTCTTTATTTCTTTTTTGTTTCTTTTTCTTATTTTATTTATATCCAATTTCTCATCTTAACACTAATCTGTTTTCTTTTTTTCTTGCTATTTTTGATGTTATCATTCTTTCTTTCGTTTTTCTTTTATTTTTATCTAATTTCTGATCTTTACACTAATCTGTCTTTTTTTTTCTTCTTCTTTAATTTTACTATTTTTAATGTTATTCTTTCTTTCTTTCTTTCTTTCTTATTTTACATTAATCTGCCTTCTCTTTTCTTCTACTTTTTTATATTTCTTTTCGCCATCTTTTCTCTTTTTTGCCTTTTCCTCATCCTTCCTTTTCTTCTTATTGTTGCTGTTGTTTATCTCTCTACTCTTCCTTTTTTGTTGTTTTTTTCCCTATCATTTCTTCTCTTTTTACTTTTCATCCCCTCCCTTTATCTTCCACCTCTCCCTCTTCCTCTTTTTTCTTCTTCTTTCTACACAATGATATTTTTCCATCTGGTTTCTTTCTTAATATTAAAAAAATGTCCTTCTTTTCCTCTGCTTGGTTTCTTTCAATTAAGTTACTTTAATTCTTTTCTTTAGCCTGCTCTCCCCACCACAACCACTAGATGCTCTCCGCACAACTCATTTGCTTCCCCAACCAAAAGAATCCATGCAGTAATCGCCTTCATATATCATTTTTTACCCTTTTATTTTCTCAGTTTTCCATTTTTTTTTTTTTTGAACCAGTTTTTCATAAAAATCATTTCTGTCTCCTTGCCACCCATCCAAACTCTACAGATAAAGAATTGCATGAATGTATGGTCATTCTAGTTACAAACATTTCCAAGACTTTCTTCTAATCAACCATCAGGTTTCTTCAGTGAAATTCTTCAAAGAAACTTTGTCAGGTGGAATAAAGCCCATTTCAAATTGTATAATTGAATGGATTTCCACCATTGGGACAGCACCTAAAAAACAAGGCTTCTCTTCTATTCAATTCATTTTTCATTATAGTATATATATATATATGGCACCAGGTTTTACCAATTTTCTCAAAAGTTTGGGAATAAGGAAAGAGTGAAAGGCTTGTGCTCTGTCATGCATTTCAAAATCTCAGCACTTTTAAGATTTGCCATAAAGTTTGTTGATGATAGAGACAAATAGCAATACTGACTCCTCCATGTAAGTTTTTGTAATGTGCTTTGTCTCAAAAATATAGCAGAAATCATAAATCTAGCTAAGAGTATTTAGACAGAAGCTGAAATATATGCAATCTGGTGTGTGTTAAGAGTAGGGATCTGTAGATGGGAAATCCTGCTACCCACCTTTAAAAAAATATCTTCAAATATATTTCCTTCCCCACAAAACAGGAAAAAGGAAAATAATAATAAAAAAAAGAAACTAATTTCCTTTTCTATATTTTTGTCTTGTGCAAAATCAAATGATGCTGAGTTAATAGAGGGAGTCATCTGTTACTGTTACGGTTCATTGGATGTGTGAAGGTGATCACAAAATATGGAAGGAGGGCGGGTTGAGTTAGGCCAGGCTTGTTGGGTGGGTGGGGATGTTAAAGAGAACTGAAAGTGAGGGTTCAGGGAAACAGGAAGGTGTTCTTGGCTCTTGGCTGGATGATTCTTTACACACTTGTAAAGAATATGCATCAAAGTGTATATTGATTTCCATCAACGTCACTATTATGATTTGGGAACATGTGACACAGCCATTGAAATGAAAATAAAAACAAACTTGATCTACTTATTTACCAACACTCATGGATTTAAAAGTAAACTTTTCTTATTGTTTTTCTTATGGAATATATGTTTAGGCACATTACTCACTTCTTAATGAATTATAAATTTAACAATTGTTGAGACCTCACATTTATACACACACCCACACGAACATACACCTTTACACACATGATACTCACTCACTCCCTAATGAGCCAAATGATAACACACCCACAGCAATATACACGTTTACACATATCATACTCACTCACTCCCTAAGAACCAAATAACGCACGCACAAACACTAAACAGAGACACATCCCCTCTTCAGGACCAATAAAACAGTCAAACTGACCAGGGGAATTCAGAGCAGCATAGATCCATCCAGCTCTTATCTCAAATAACAACTTAAAAGAGAATGTTTGCCCAACACAAGGAATGTTAAAAGATTCATGTTAAAAAGATAAAAAAAAAACAAATGAAAACTACAGACAAAAGTTCATTTTCTCCATCAAGACATTCATTTCTGTAGTTCACTGCTACCAGCAAGCAGAAATATTTCTTCTCCTGATGATGGCCATTTTGGCCGAAACTAGTCAAGGAATCTAAATGAAATAATAATTAAAAAAACGAAAGAATATTAATCTACAACCCAGTGTGTCTGAAGATTTTAATATTTTTTATTGTTCAAAATATATATATATATATATATATATATATATATATGTAAAATGCACCCCTACCCTACCTAGACTTAACCTCTTTTTTGAACGTAACTGATAATTGATACAATAATAGTCTAAATGATTGGATTTCTCTGTATCCTTGGAAATAAAAAATTATGAATTGCATGTGTGTTTAAAACTCAGTAAATTTGAAAATAAGTTATTCCAAAATTCGCTTGAAGATGAAACAGAACTAATGCTTTTAATTTAATTATATAATTAAATTTGAAGTTTTTAGCTTCAGTTTTTGAAACATGGTAATTCCTGTGTAGCAAAGAAACCATATTTTAAATCAGTTAATTTATAATATATATATATATATATATATATATATATATATTTAAAAAAATTAGTAGATCAGACATTCACACTACCTTGATTTCAATCTTTCAGTATCATCAGGTGTTATAGGCCAAATGATTTCCTAATGCTTTATTATTTATATATAAACACACAACAGAAATGTAATAGAAGGGGAGGAGAAAAACAAGAGTATTGAAATTGTATTGGAGGAGGAGTAATGAAAATTGTACATACTGTCATCCTGGTTTGTACGAACTCAAAAAGTACTTTTTAGTGTATATGCATTGTGTCATTATTTCTGATCTTTCATTCAGTAGTTTTTTTTTGATCTGGAAATGTTATTATTGATAACTTTTCCTCCTGGTACAGTTTGCAGATATAATAATGATTGCTGTAAATTTTGGCTTTTTTAATATTTTTCCAGTTTACAATTGGATCTTGGTTATATTTTCTTTTAATTCCTACACCTGGCTGGCTAGTCTAGAAGAATACCTAGATAATAATAATAATAATAATAATAATATATATATATATATATATATATATATATATTTTTTTTTTTTCATACAGTCAACAAGAATGATATAATGAACTTTTAAGTTTTTTGTAGCTTGAATAATTATATATATATATATATATATATATATATATATATATATATATATATATATATATTCATTAAATATAGCCAACAAGAAAGATATAATTAACTTTTTTTAATTTTTTTTTTCAGCATCTTTACATTTTCCTGTTTTGTAGGAGTAAGGGAGTACAAACATTTTCCATAATAAATGCTTAGGACAATAAAAATTATGGATAATTTTTGTGCTCTCTTACTTCTACAAAATGAAAAAATCCAAGGCTGCTGGAAAAACTTAATAAAAGATTAATTAAATCTTCCTTGTCAGCCATATTTAATGAAAGATGTTTGAGAGAAAGGTTGCTGCCCAAATATACATTAATATATATATATAATAAAGAGGTAATCAAAGAATTAATTAGCAATGTTAATTTAATTAATGGCAAAATCACTTTGCTAACAGATTTAATAGGGCATTAACTTACTAACACGTCAGTGAATGATGCGATTCTTATGTTTAAATTGTTGTTAGATGGATTTGATGTGCTTAGGCTTAGGATATAGTCGGACAGATTTAGATGAAAAATTTGTATTAAAACTTTGTTAAAGGACATTTAAAAAAAATACTGCAATACCTAATTTTTAAATTTAATTAAAATTATTTAAATTCAAATTTCATGTATTAATGATGATGTTATTTTAAAGAAGAAAGGTTGAAATTTTTTATTAAAAGAATATTTGTGTAATTAAAACAATTTAAATTAAAACAATGTTAATTTAGTTTCCATCAAAAGTACGAATTTTCAGTTTTCCAATCATCAATCAATGCCATTTTCTGACACCTGTTATCAAGTGATAAGAATCTTATTTAAATGTTTTTTAAAAAATTAAAATAAAAATGTCTACATCTACATCTGATTCTAACCATACCTGCCACATCTGCTTCCTGTGAAAGATTGTTTTCTTCACTAAAGTGTGTAAATAATTATATGAGGTGTTCCTAAAGTAAAGAGCAATTAAGTAATTTAGTTTTCATTTCCATGAATAAAGTCCTTTTGGAAAAGATGAAGGTAGAGTGTGGTACTGATATTTTTTACAACAAAGTGATCAATGAATTTGACAAAAAGAAACAAAGAATTGAATTCATTTACAAATAAATTTTAATAACTCATTATTTTTAGATTTTATTATTTTCTCTCATAATCAATAGCAGTCATCATCATCATCACCAGAATATTACTAATGAGTAGGGGCATCAAGTCCAGTGGAAAAGAGTAACAAGTCTGAAGCAGACCCTGTTGGTAGAAGTGTATTTTCTGACATTAAAATTAGTTCGCATCACATTCACAGATAGTTGAAGTGGGACGCAAATAATTTTCCAGAGGCGCAGAGTGAGGTTCTCCTTTTCCCTCTCCACCTTGGTGATTAGCCTGCATAATGGACTGAATGCCCTGATTTCCAAGTCACCATTCACAACTGATACACATACACACACATAAACACACCTTACAGCTATATGATGTTGAAATATGTTCTCGTCTGATCACCAAAGTTAAGCAACGTTGTGTATGGTCAATACCTGGTCAGTACCTACATGACTGACTGCTTGGGTGTACCAGGTGTATGTGCAGATGGTATAATAGATATCAGCTCAATAGCTACAAATAGCCACATTTAGA